GCCACCTTAGGTGTACATGGCTGGCACCTTAGCCGGTTGAGCTATAGGCGCCAAGCCTACAGCACAGTTTTTAAGGACATGGTCCTGCACTTACTGTTTGATAGGACCACGGCCTAGTTCTTCCACTTACCGCTTATGTGATTTTGCCAAAGATCTCAACACCACCGAGCCTCCATTTTCTCAACAGTAACCTTGAAATATGATATAAAATTTTAATGAAGGTAAAATAAGATACTGAACGAAAAGCATTTGGCATATTGTAAATACATGGTTACTAAAAGAAGAGAAACTAGACGCAAAGAATAAAAGTGTCCGTTATAAATGCAGTTTAAGCAATCTTGAGGTCATATGGAAAGCTGTAGTAATCTGCCTAGATTACTAGAAGGAGTTAGATGTGTTAGAAGGAGCTGTTTTAAAATTATAAACTATTTGAGACAAATTTATCCTCAATCCAGGAGAACTACAACTCTATCAGGGTGTGAACTGATCAGTACATTGGGAAAACCTCATGAAGACAACTCAACCTTTGTTTCTTTTTGGTGGCTTGGGTCCAACTAGGACCCTGAACTCACAGCATCAGTGAAAAACTGGTTGAAACTTTTTAATAATTACTGAGAAAAGAAATTACTTTTGTTTCAGTAAGATAAACACACGGACGCTAAGTTTTGAAAACTGAGAAATTTCACAGTAATAAATAATACATTTAGTTTAAGAGAAAAGCACACAGAACCTCCTAAGGAGCAAAAGTCTATACCTGTGCCCAAAGAAATTACAAGTGTTGATTCTTGTCTTAATGGCAGAGATCATCTTACTCTACTATCTTAAAGGATCTTTAATTTAGAACATTCATACATATGATTTCTCTGATTTCTTTTTACAAATACAAGCATGCTTATAATCCTCAAAAAAGATAAATGAAAAGTAAATCTACTTGAGCCAAGAGCCACTTGCTATGTGCCAGGCACTAAGCTGAGCCTTTGCAAATGTGAGCCTTAAGGAATCTTTACATCTTAATGGTAACTATCCGTTTTCAGATAAGAAATATAAAGAATAGAGGCTCAGCAGGATTTGTCACTTGTCCAAGGCTTTCATCTACCATTCAGCTGGTAAATGACAAAGCAGGGATCTGAACCCAGTTTCTGGGCGAGTGCATGGCTTAACTACTATGCTATGCTGTCTCGTTGGCTGGTTTCAGCGTCTGTGGTGGATTATCAAATTCCGGAGTAACCTCTTATGGCCTGTTGCTGGTCACTAAACAAGATATGTCTGCAGCTTAGGTCATGTGAGCAAGATGCCCCCAAGTCACTGCCTGGAGGTGTGTCACTACCACTTAAGCAGGGCCTAGAGATCCCTGGGCTTCACACAGATAACGGTGGGAGACTGGGGTCCAGGGTGGTCTCTCTGTGCCAGGGTTGGCCCCAGTTTGAAATGGTTTCTTCTCCATCTCCTCGTCTATCATAAAGACTGACCTACTGGGACCTTAGGAAGAGGCTCTGGGCCAATTAACAGCAGGAAAGACTTTGCTTCAAGCCATCTTAGGTGTCTCTTCATATTTTCTTCTTCAGATGCTTCCAGAAAGACCTATTTGAGGAAGGAAAGCAATATTTTCTGATCTAAGCAGATTTTAAAATAATGCATTGAATTCTTCCTTTGAAACTTAGAGCCATAAAACAATAACTGAGAAAATGACATGAAGGCTGTGTTGACCAGTTTGATGGAAGTATTTCGGATTGCATGTGAAAACCCCACACTGTACCCCAGAAGTGCATTAATGTACATAGTTACCATTTAATAAAAAATAAATAAATAAATAAATTTAAAAAAAAAAAGAAACTTAGAGCCTTTTGCCTCATTGGGTAAATTGAGTTTCTAGTACTCTAATACTTTATAAGGAGCTGATGAGAAAGTGCTGGGACCAAACCTGGCCCTCTTTTGCCCTCTTGTGGCTGAGAGTTCCCAGTGAAATAGGCCCAGGTGGCCCAGGCCTGTGTGGTGGGAACTGAGGCTTCAGTCAGGCTTGTGTGGACCTCGGAGACAGCCAGACGAGCTTGTCATTAGTTGATCAACTCATTCATTGACTTGTATTTTATTTTATTTTTTTGAGACAGAGTCTCACTCTGTTTCCCTGGGTAGAGTGCCGTGGCATCATAGCTCATAGTAACCACTAACTCTTGGGCTTAAGCGATTCTCTTGCCTCAGCCTCCCAAGTAACTGGGACTATAGGTGCCTGCCCCAATGCCCGGCTATTTTTAGAGACAGAGTCTCACTCTTGCTCAGGCTGGTCTCAAAGTCCTGAGCTCAAGCTATGGACCCTTCTCGGCCCCCCAGACTGCAAGGATTACAGGTGCAAGCCACTGCGCCTAGCTAGGCTTGTCCTTTAAACCAGAGATTGTTCTCTACTTTGTGCACAACTTAGACCTCACCTTAATTGTTTTAGTAACTCATAGAAAAGGAGAATTTTTATTTTCTTAGAATTTTAGGGAGATTGTATATAAAAAATCTTAACTGTGATATATATTCTCTCTCATTTGTATAATAATTTAAGGAAATGAAGCAATAATGCAATGTGTTATTATGTTATAATACAATAATATTAGGGAGCTAAGAAATGTCAGATTTTAGCTAAATGGCTATTATACCTATTCCTCTCTTTTTCTAACACACACACACACATACTCTATGCCGGGGCATTACCTAGAAGCATAGTGAAATATGGCTAATACTAATACAGCATCTATATACTAAAAACAACGTTCTAGAAACTGTTTTAAGATATTTAGGTTTATAAGTTATGTACATCTGAATACTTAATACATATGTGGTTTATGCATTATAGGTATGTGGTACATGTACATTACCCATAGCGATCATATTAGAAAGTGCTGTTATTTCCTTTAAGCTAGGAGGAGGCTGAGACACAGAAAGCCTAGTCACTTGTTCAAGACAACACGCACAGCTGGTAAATGGTGGGGCTAGAGGCCACCAGACAATACTGCCTCTATGACTAGATAGTTCCTGGTGTCTCAGGGCCCTGTAGGATATTTGAAACAACTCAGAACTCACCAGTAAACACCTTGGGTAGAAGCTTGCAATGGTAGAAAAAGTGTTGGACCAGCACTTGAGTCAGTATTTCAGCTTTGCTTCTACCATTTATGAGTTGTAAATACTTGGGCATGTCTCTTAAGCTGAATCTCACCTTCCCTATCTACAAAATGGAGATGATGACATCTCCCCACACTTCATAGAGATGTGAGACAGGTGATATAATGGATGTAAAGCCATCTGAAAACTCCTGAAGTTTTCAGGAGCTACCTAAAGATTCAGAAAGGATTTTGTACATGATCACGGTTAGCTCTGGAACGCTATGCTAAGACTTTAATCAATCACTCTGGGCACAGTGTCCCTTTCACTCATCTGTGCCATGTATCAACGTGTCTTTCAAACAAATTCACATGTGTATCTGCGTTTGTTCCTTTTCTGGAGAAATGAGAAGTGACACACTCCTCCTTGAAATATGATGCCCTCCCTGCAATCACAGAGAGTGTGTTACTCCACTGAAGAAACCATCTCTCTTTTCTTCAAATTTGAGAAACATTACATTTCTTTTTCCCCTCTCACCTAAAACTAGAATCCTGTCTTACAAATGAAAGGCCCTTAATAAATTTAAACCCAATAGAATCAGGGATGCTCAGAATGGAAGGGTCTCACTTGATCTGCAAGACGTTAATTTACAGATAGGAAAGCTGAGGGTCAGTGCAAGTCTTATCGGACATAACTCAGCAAATTAGGGTCCAACTGGGTCAAGAACCCAAGTATCCTGACTTCCAGCTCTAGGCCAGTTCTGCCTGTACCGAGACGCTATCGGGAGTTGTGGCTTGTTTGTTTGAATGCTTTGTTTTATTACTGACTGTTCTGCAAGGAATGCTTTCTCTCTGTAAGCATTGGTTCTTTGTTACTTGCAGAAGAAGACTGCACAAGCTGGGTGTGTCGAAGGTTACCCAAGTGGATTTCCTGCCGAGGGAAGTAGTGTCCTACTCAAAGGAGACCCAGACTCCTCTTGCTACACATCAGTCCGAAGGTAAACTGTGCCTTTTGTTTACTTTCCTTATTATCTCTGGAGAAATTGTCAGGGAGTAACATCCTTCTTACTGATTTCCTTTCCTACCATAAGAGATCGTCATAGGATACAAACACAATGGAGCACTGAAAGCCAAAGTCTCCAGCTCTGATTTTGAAAGCTTTGGAGAGGGAACCCAATGGTACTCTGCCAAACAACCCAGGAATGGTCAAAATGGGTATTCTGGCCAGGTCCAAACTGTGGGAGGAGGTGGATGAAAATCATCAAGGGACACCATTATAATAAAACTTTTTTGAATTTTATCAATAAGAAGAGTTCATACATTACATTTTCAGGGGTTGGGTCAGCAAACCACAGGCCACCACTTGTTCCTAGAAATAAAGGATTATGGGAAAACAGCCATATCCAACCATTTACATCTATAAGAGACCGGGTGGCTCATAAAGCCTAAAATCTGGCCCTTCGCAGGAAAACTTTGCCTGCTCCTGATTTGCTTTGCTAATTCAGATGAAAGTATCCTAGAGTGTCTGAGCACATTTAAAATATTTTCCATGCAAGGTCCACATAGATGAATGGGAATTGAACCCAAATACCAGAAAATGTCAAGTGAAAAATTCTCATCCAAATCTCAGGAATTGTAAAAATACACTAATAAGAGAAGTTGAAGCTGATAAATCAGATTCTTCCTAGAAGTCAAACATTACACTAACGCAAAATTATGCAAAAGTAAAAGCAGAAGATGCGTTTACTGAAAATAAAGTAAGTGAAAATTTCATTCTTAGAGGCTAACATTGCATAGCAAGGCAAATTTTCCTTTTACTTCATGTTATTTCATTGTTTGGTATGAAGAGGTAAATGGAATTCTGGGTTCATTGCTATTCTATAGTAATTACTGAGCAAAAGCCTTAAAAACAGGAAAATGACTAGCATTCGTGGGTTTACAGCAAATATGTAAATTGGTGTAGTTTGGTTTGTGCAAGCTACTGAGATTTTTCAAGTTTTATTCTAAATACATAACATGAAGGGCAAGTGAAGTCTGATTGCCTGAAGTCCAGCGCTGCTACAGGCCTTCTGAAAACCTTTCCTCCTTCATGCTGTTAGGGGGATGCTTATTTAAAAGGAAGGCTTCGGTTTCTTCAAGACCTAGAGTGAAAAAGAATTTTAGAACCAAACAAGTAGCACCCTCTGCTGGTGAAATTTTAAACCGGCCAATCCAACAAACTGGAGAACTGTCTATTAACGTGGCAGAAAATACAAAGTCAGAAAGAAAAAAAAATACAAAATTAGAAAAACCTGTGAGAGTTCACCTAGTCTACCCTTTGGCCTCCAGACAAGAACAGGAAGATCGTTAAAAAACATCCTCACCACCAACCAAAACATTTTGTTTGACTTAATTTGCTGCCATGGGTATTTTCAGAGCTGTAGCTAGAGGTATGTTTATTTAGTTCCAAACTTGACCCATAACATAAAGTTATACAACTGAAATCAGAGAAGGAGTGAATTATTTTTTAAATGTGTGTACTTAAGATATTGGAAGTAGTAAAGAAATATTTACAAGGGAAGATAAATTAAGGATGAAAAGGCATCAGCTCTAAAATATTAAACTGGAACACATCAAAAGGAAAAGCCTGTACATTCCATTTTATGACTGCAGAGTGAGCTTGGGAGCTCTCATTATCCTGTGGTTTAAGCAGCAGGAAAGGAGGAATTTATTCCTCAGCTACTGGCAGAAGTTTTCTCTGTTTTGTTCACAAGACTCATAGAGGTTTTTTGTGGTGATGGACATTAAAACGGTTCAAATCCACAATACGGACTTCAACCCAAAGCTGGCTACCATAGCTTTTGACACCAAAGAAATCTCTGATGGGTATAAACAATAAAATGTTCAGATTTGAGTTCAGCAAACTGTCCTCTCCCCACGGGCGATGGCTTGACCTTTGGCTGCCCGGCAGTCAAGGTGCCCATGCTGGCCTTTCACCTGCTGAGTGGAGCGGGCTGGCGGGAGAGCTGAGCAAAGCCATGGGCAGTCAGCCCCGAGGTTCTAGCATGCCCCGTAAATATGGGTTGGCTCCCAGTTTGAAGTCTGAGCCATGGCAATGTTTTCATGACAACTGTAGCCTTTCAGAGGCAGGAAACAACTAACTACTGAGTCTGAGGCCACAATGAGCTCTTGGACGGATAACGTTTGAAGCTGTGGTGTGTGTAGCATTGCTTTGGCTCCTTGTTGCCTGTGTTGTAGGAAGACATGCTAACTATTTTTTCAGTCCCTGTTTGACTATGCTCAGACTAGTGATCTCAGAGCATCGATTTGCTCTGCCTCTACTGGAGGTCTAGTACACTCAGTCTCTTACATGTTCCAATTTTACTTTTGAAAATGAAGAGGAAAGTCCTCTGGGTTAAGCCTCTGCTGGGCACTGTGATAAACATTCTCTCCATGGTGGATACATGTATTAATGGTGATCATAGAGCTCTGTTATGAGGAACACCACAGAGGATATTTAAGCAAGGACTATTTCGTAACAAAGTCTCCAGGAATACTGTTCCGTCTACTAGGTCAGAATATCCTTCTCTGCTTAGCTCATTAGTCACTGGGAAAGAAGGCCAAGAGTGAGGAACACTGATTAGGAGCAGGATATCTTTACCCCTCAATTTTTTTTAAGACCATGATTTTATTCCTAAGTAGTAATTAAGAAAGGAAAGAAAAATTATGGTTCTTTGCCAGACTGCCTCTGCTTTGCCTGTTACAAATCTCTCCCTGGACTGACCGTGAGGGCCTGAGGTTAGGGAGCTAATACTCTGCATTAGTATAGTGAGTAAGTGACTGGCTCCTAAGAGGCACCCAACAATGCTGCTAAATGTCAAACACGATACCTGATGTCTCTAGAAATGCCAAGTTCTGCGTGGCCTTCAGGGAGTGAGCATTTCTTAGCTGCCCCCCAGCTTCCAGATGGATAGTCGATAGTTGTGAAAAATTCCCAAACTTGCTCTCCTGTTTAATCTCATCTTACAAATGGTCACTCCTTGGCCACTCTCCTCCCTCCATGTCCTTCCCAAGCTTTGTTTTACATCCAGGAAAGACCAAATGACTTAGATTTTCCAAGGTGCTCACACCCCCATCCACTGCACGGGCTGGGTTTTCTACCCATACTGCTGTCCTGCCATTTGCCTCCCTTCAGGAGTACATGAGGGTCAGCTCCTTGGTAACTTCCCTTTAAGTTGACATCCTTCCTCGTACTGCAGGCCTGGTCTGTATTTGTCCTTATCACACAAAATTTAATTATTATTTACATGTCTACCTCTTAGAATGTGATCTCTTTGGGGGCAGGATGTGTTTTCTTTGCTTTCATGCCTAACAGTGCATAGCAGAGAAGGAGCTCTCGAGGTCTCAGTGGAAGAGATGAAAAATGAGATGATATGAGAAGAATAAGAAAGAAGGAAGAGAAAACACTCATTGTTTGTCAGAAAGAATGGGGTACAATCTCTGCATTAAGACTAGATTGGTCCCCTGAATACCCTCCCTTCTCCCATTTCAAAACTATTAAGAAATGAGTACAGTTGTGATGGATGTGTTACTTGGTTCAATGTGAACATTTCACGTTGTATATCGAAGCAGTACCCTGAACCTCATAAATGCATCAATGTACAAAGTTATGATTTAATGAAAAATAATTAATTATTTAAAAAAAAAGACTGCATTGGCCATTTTATGGAGTTTGTAAGGAAATGTCATGAAAGGGAGATTCTGTGGTGAGGGGAGGTCATGTTTTTATTTCAGCCAGGCCTGTTTCAGTCCCCAGGGTGGGACAGGCATTAACCGCTCATAACATAATGCGGTTACACAAACTGAGAAAGACAATCACAGAGGCAGCCTGGGTTGCCCAAGGACAGAGCAAGACAACCTTTTAGGCTAGTGCTGTGCAGACATACGATGTAAAGTACTTTGAGTTGGGACGAGGTGTGCAGGAGGGTGGCTAAGGAAGGCTCTTGTTTCACCTTTGAATTTTTTATTTTAGATTAAAATGAGGGGACATGCAGTTACGTTACGTAGTTTGCTTTTGTCAGTGAACGTCCCAGTTGTAGTGTTGTAGTTGTGCCCTTCACCCAGGGCACATCTACCTGTGCAAGGTACCTGTTGGGTAGGAACTTACCCAACCCTTCCCCACACCCTGAATTTAATTGATTTTTTCTCTCATGTGAGTATTTTTGTTAACCTACTAGTTTCAATTTAGTATTGAGTACTTGTGCTGCTGGTTTTTCCATTCTTGTGATACTTTGCTTAGGAAAATGTTCTCCAAATCCATCCAGGTTGTTACAAAAGACACAAAATCTCCATCTTTTTATGGCTGAATAGTATTCCATGGTACACATACACCACAGTGTATCAATCCATTCACGCATTGAAGGGCACTTGGGTTGTTTCACATCTTTGTGACTGTGGATTGTGCTGTTGTAAACATTTGAGTTACAAATGTCCTTATAGCAAAATGTCTTTTTCTCTTTTGGGTAATACCTAGCAATGGGATTGCAAGATCAAATGGTAGGTCTACTTTTAGTTCTTTGAGGAATCCCCATACTTCTTTCCACAGAGGCTGTACTAGTTTGCAGTCCCCCCTGCAGCACATGAGTGTTCCCTTCTCTCTGCATTCACGCCAGCATCTGTTGCTTTGGGACCTTGTGATGGGACAGTTCTCATTCAGGTTAGGTGATATAAAGAACTATATTCTTGGTAGTTAAAGATAATTTCTACCTTGGTTTCCCATCCTCTCTAATATACACTCACTACAGAAGTTGCAAATAGAGAGATGGTTGCTATAAAGCCATTGAAACAAAATAGGCTACACCAGCACTGTCCAATGGAAATATAATGTCCTACTATTAATTTTAATAATATATTTTACTTAACCTCATGTGTTCAAAACATTATCATTCAGGCACGTTATCAGTATAAAATTATCAAAGAGATATTGTACATTTTTGATACTAAACCTTCAAAGTCTGGT